GCTGAGGTCATGCTCTTGATTTCATTAATCTTCCACTGTGAAACAACTTTCTCTGATAGAATAAAAATCCCAGAACCTAGAGACCTCCTCCCTGCTTAGGGAGAAGATCAGAGGAATATAACCTTACTATTTCTCCTCTCCCTCTGGGAACGCTCTGTTCTAGATGCTCAGCTGATCTGTCTCTGTCTTTGGGGGCAACCTAGTAACTGTTTTTCTGGGATTGGGAGAACAAGATCTCAGTACCTCAGGATGACCTGAAGTCATGTTCAAGACCGTGGAAACCTCTTGTATCCTGATAGACGGGGAACAGAAGGAGCAGCAATGGGGACTTCAGCATTTGTTGACCAAACCAGATACTTCATAGCTCTTGCCCAGATGCCGTGGTTTGGATTCCACAGCTCTAATATAGGGTCTGATATACACTCATAATTTCTTTCTGACAAAAACTTACGCATCTTCTGTGCATGTAGATCACAAACAGTGACTAGATGTCTGGTTGGATATTTGGTTTATTAGACCAAATAGTTTCAGCACTCCACTGCCAGCAGATGAGAAATAATCAGAAAATGTAGCATTCAATAAATGTAAAAATTGAAGAAAACAAAATACTAGACATGAATTTTCATGTAATTAAACCATAAGAGTTGGAGCTGCTTGCTTTCTTTATTCTTAAAGAAAGTACTTGTGGCCAAGTAGATCATAATATATCTGATGAAAGAGAATTTTTGAAAGAAGCAACTGCTGCTTCTCTGCTTGGGTTTGGCTGCAATAATGAGTTATGTTAGTAATTGTTTTCTGTTTCTGAACACCCAGAAGATTTAGACGACCACAGCAGTTCTTATGAAATCTATTTCTTTCCATTTGTTCACTAGTAAATATTAGGTCATGAATGCTGATAAATAGCTCTCCGTTTGAGTCATCTGATTTGCTGCTGGCAAAATGTGATAGTTTACATGGTCGAGAGGTAGCAGTTCCAACAACATTATCATCCAAGTACAAGCAGCTAGTGAATTTTTAGAGGCTGTCTCAAATGGGCCTGTGTGTATGAGAGTCTGCTTTTAGCCCCTGCTACTAAACGCTTCATCTTTGCTTGTAATTGTGGCAAAATGGAAATGGCGCTTAGGAGCCTGACTGTGCGGTTGCAGCAAATGGCTGCAATGTATGTTTAATGTAGTGACACTAATGAATTCTGAGAATTAATTTTCAGCCAAGAAAGCATGATGGAAAATCCTAGAATTAGGTTAGGTAATGGATTGACTTTCATCGAGGCAAAAATGTAAAATGTTTGTTTCCTTTTCAGTCTTTACCTTTCACATTATTTTAGATCCAAAAAACAGCAAACTAAGTATGATCATATTTTCATCATACCTTACATGAAACGCACCTTGTAGTAGAATTTCTAGTTAATTTTCTCAATGCAAGGCAGTCTTACTGTTGTGGGTTTTTTTGTTTGTTTGTTTTTTAATAATTGCCACAGGCCAAACAAACTGGCTTAGTTTACAGGTACATCACATTTAGTGGCTTTATATGTAACTGCAGCATGTTTGAAGTTTGACAGTGCCTACGCTAACTGTCAAAATTGGTGTTAAAGGAATGCTCACATGAGCACTTGAAAGTGTTTTAGTTTTCTGATTTCCTCAGAAGCAAATCCTTCAGTGATATAACTTCTTAATATTTTTTTACTTGCACAATACACACAATGTTGGGGTTTTTTTTTCTGCATTAAGTAAGAATATTTTCTGATCAATTAGATTATAAAAACTTTTGTTACTATACTCTTCCTCTTTCAAATGGTAGTGTCACTGTATTTTTATGTGTTAATTTTTGATTATTTTTTCTGGACTTCACATGGAATATATTTCACTGAATGTATTGGCAACTTTGGTCTTAAGCACTCATAAAATTCTCTTTTTCACACATTATAGTTCTATTTCAGGGTGCAGGTCACTGCATAGGAAACACTATGATAATGCTCACCCTCATCTAGGCTTCAGCATCTAAGAACTGATATTCTATATTATAATTATTTTTTTCTGAAGAGTAGTATATTGTCAAGACTGCTTTCAGTGTAGATGAAACCGCACTGAACACCTGCAGTGGCACTGGCAGTCTGAGGCATCATTTTTCACTAGCACATAGGTGGTGGCCCAATAGTTATTATTTTACATGTAATGATGACTAAGAACAGCAGCAGCACCCATTCAGTGTGGCACTAAAAGCAACACAGCTGAAATGACAGGGTGTAGAAGCACAGCATGTAAATATACCTCAGAACATTCATAGGTTTGTCTACGTAGAGAGGAATTAGGACAAAGGAGTATGCACCATACATAACGACTATTTTTTCAGTGTCATATGACAGCTGTCCATCCTACACTCCATCTCAGCAGGCGTAGTGACACACCACACTGGCACTCAGTATCTGAGTATGCACTGAGCCCCCAGTACCTGCTATGACTAAGATGCAAGCTGGTTACTGGTACTTGAAACATCATAAGGAGTAATTTCTAGAATTAACTATGTCAACACTTCTGTTTCAGACCAGAAGGAGAGTGCATATGGCATACATGCTTCAATTTCCTATGACCTGCCTGGTCTTTCTGCTGCTACGGTCCTAATATGCTAGGAACTTGCTATTTAACTTGATGGATTAAACCAACTACAGTGGAGATTTGCATTCACAGAGAATGGTGAATTCTTCTCCCATTCTCTTGCCTGAACTGGAGTAGTCCTAGGATGGAAGATACAGAGGAGAATTTAAGCAGCTGTCTCTCACCCTTGCACAGCTGTTAGTCACTAGCTTTTTACTTTGTTGTTACATCTCCCTAACCGTCTGAAAGGGCTCTGTTCTTCCAATATAGGCACAAGCTTGGAACAATAGTAGGTGATCTGTCTGAACTTTGAACAGTGACTGATCACAGAATCGTGTTGGTGTGTCTTGTGTCATTAGCTTGGTCATCTAATGAATTAAAAAAGTTTTGTTTGTGTTTCAAGTGACATCCCAAGTGACCACAGATTGCGGTAATATCCTACTACCAGAGTGTAAAGGCTGCATATAGATTAAACAATATAATGAAACAAATTTTGATAGCTGCAAAACAGAGGAGTAGCATGCATGCAAAGTGAATATGCAGCAGAGCAGAGGACTGGCAGGAGCATTAAACAGAAGCAAAGGTAATCCTAAAGTAGTATTCAAGACCACCTCGCTGGCAGAACTTACCTGTGCTCATAGGAACACCTTCCAGATCCAAACACCTAGCGTTTCAGGTACATAATAGAGAAGATAGGAACTTTTGTCCCTAAAATATTTTCCTTCTATCTCTTGTAGTTTTGTGTTGGTTTGTTGGTTTGTTGTGGGTTTTTTTCCTCTGTCTGCCTGATTAATGTTACATTTCTTTTCATATGCATTTTCCCTTTTTCTCAAGAAACATAAATTTAACCAGGATTGGTGTGGATCATATTGTCTGTGTGGGTGTATTGACTTTTAAAATCCATGGATCACAGACGGAAAAGGTTGGGGGAGTGGGTTGTCAGAACCTGTTGAAGGCTAATGATGGATCTCTCAATGGGAGGGAAGGACTGGTGTTTATAGCCTTGCACTCAGAGGGAGGGAGATAAAGCAGTTTCTGTTACTTTGGTTTTTCTATCAGGAAGCTATAGTTCTATAGCAAAATTCACCAAAATTGGTAGCTCATTTTACAGATTGTCTTCTCTGGACTAGTGGTATCAAGAAGAGACTGGGAAAATATTTTTCAGGAACCTAAAGTATTGGAGCTATGTTGAAAGATATTTCAGGAGTATTTAACACCAGACTTTAGGCTTCAGTAAAGTATTTGAGGTGAGGCTAAACTTTAATCATTTGCTAATCTGTTTGGTAGTATTTTTAATCCATTAAAGTGTGTATATATACATATATATATTTATATTTTTAATATAGTTTACATTTTGCAAATTTTTATTGATACTGCTAGAATATAATTTTTTCTAAAAGATATTCAAGTTTCATTGAGCTTTTGACTAAAAAGGTAATCTTTATTTATTATATTTGGCCCTGTTAAGGAAGTACTTTAGGTGTGCAACCTAGTATCAGCAAATATGAGATAATACAAATGTACCTCATCAAATAAACTCTTCTTGGGCTGTAATGATGTACTGAATTGCAGAATTTCTTTTCATATTCTCAAATAATGTCAATAGCATTAGTTGAGCAGGATAAACAGAATACTTTAGTACAAAGAATTAGAAGGTAATTTAAAGCTGTCTAATCTTTTTAAATAATTCTTCTGTTTAGACTGTATTAATTCAATTTTATTGTATAGAGAAGAATTCAACTTTAAACATGGCTTCCTCAATTTTAAATCTCAGTTATATAAATTAGCACAATAGTTTACTTTATGCTCATTTAATAGGATGTATTTCTTTATTCATTACTAGATCACCTGTTCCTATCTCACAGATAACCTTGGTACCTTGACTGACATTTAATTCAGACTCAGTAATTTCTCTTCCAGTCTGAATTACATAGGTTTGCAGAATTTTCTATGATTCTTATACTATTGTGTATCATTGCAATATAGAAGATATCAAAAAAACAGAACAAAGCTCTGTATCAAATTGTTCTGACTAGTGTTGTATCCCAGATTTCACTTGTGGTATTTATTAGGCTATATCCTACAGTGCTTAGTCAAAACTCCTATCAGACAAAAGGTAGAGTGGATTAAATATTGTCCATTCATCTTAGGTTATGTTTAGTGTATATTGACTGTGTACCACTTAAAAGGTACCATGCCATTTTTTCATAGTAAGCTAGTTACAGTTAAAAAGAGAGATTAAATAAACTCGAAATCATAGCCTTTATACTAGTATATTTGTAAGGTGAATTCACTTGGTTAAGTATTTTATGCTAGATTTATTCCAATGTATACAGGCACACATTAAGCCAACTCCAATCATGCTGTAATATAGTATCACTGCCTGAGACCCCTGTTTCTCTGTCGCAGGTGTCTTATCAAGGATTTTGAACAACGTCCTTCAGTCACCCACCTTTTGGAGCATCCATTTATTAAACAAGTGCATGGTAAAGATATGTCTCTGCAAAAACAGCTGGCTGAGCTCATCCAAGAACAACAGCAGCTAGGCTCCGTAGCCAAAACAAGGTACTGTACAGCATACATGCTGCAGCTCTCCTTCACCACACTAGTCCTAGAAGCAGAATTTGAAACTTTGAATGCACAGACATTACTGTTTCAAAAGATCATATTAATGCATTGACTGGCAATATTATTAGCATTAAGTGCTGCATGCCATGTAAATGCAAGAGATGTTTTCCCATTGATACTTTTTAAAGCTAATTTGATCAGCCATAATGCAACCTTCTCCTTAGTCTTCTTTTTGCCACTGACTTGGTTCTGTATATGTTCAGTTTCTGCTCAGTCACAGAGAATCTAATAATTCCAGAATGTTCCAGTTTGTGGAAATGCATATTAGCATGATGAAAAATTGTATCATATTTTGATAGCGAATCTTTAAAAATACAGCTGTAAACAATGAAGTGACTATTAGGAAAGGTGAAGAACAGAACAGTAAAGTTTGCTGTTTGATTAGATGCTGTTAGTAAGGCTGTTCATTACTTAATGTAATTGGTTTGTCTTTTCATTCAGCCTAGTAATTTATTTTAAAACATACTTAAAAAGCAATGAATATTTATCAGTGGCAGTGGCATTTTTAACTTTTGAGTCTGATTGTAAATATGTCTTAGTTTAGTTGCTGTCCAGAGGGTGGCAGAATTTCACTGTTTCAAAAGAGAATTAAATGCAAATGAACGCACCTTCACAAGCTCAGCAATCATTCTGTAATATGAAATTTGTCTAGAGTGAGATAAGCTGTGGGCCATAATTATAAACAAACACCTACTAACGTTGATGAAGAAAATTAAATGTCATGATTTAGAAGTCATAAACACACATATACTTACATGTCATAAGACTCTGTAGCTTAAAATGCTAAAAGCCCAAGCAAAAATGTACAAGCTAAAATAAAGGGATAACTTTAAGTACAGTTTCAAGGTGAAGTTGACTTTTGTGGGATTTTGGTGGGTCGTGGTTTGTTTTTTTTTTATGGATTTTTTGTTGTTTGGTTTGGGTTTGTTTTGTTTTGTTTTGTTTTTCTTTTATTTTCTTTTCTTTTCTTTTCTGGAAAAATATACCAGGAGCCACTCACTGTGGGTGAGGGAGCTATGCCAGCATTACAGTAGAAGTTTCAGCTGTATCTAGCCTCCTAAGAAGACATCCCCAATGTAACACTCGACAGATCAGATTGCCTACAGCTGTGGATTGGCTAGCCTAAAAGTTATCAAGAGTTTTCCCAGCTGTTGACCAAACAGATCTAGACAGAGTGAAATGGGTCTTGTCCTAAGAGGAGCTCTGATGTGGATTCCTCCTGGTATTACAGTAGATTCTTCTGGAATCTATCTCCATAATGTGGAGCAAGAAGGAATCAAAACCAAGACAGTGTTTCTTACCTCAAACCTTTTAATGTATGAACTGGGAGTGCTGTGACAGAAAAGCTTCTGCAATTTATGCATGACTGGCATGTAGGAAGGATTTTGCTTTCCAGCACCCTCAGTATGAATCAGTGCTCACGTAAAGGAATTCGTTTAGCTCTTTGTCCATCCTGTCACCACATAATCCATCTTAAATATTTTCATTGTCAAGGGTAAATATTTGCAACTTGTGTGCAGTAGCACCTGCAGATTGCAGTATTGAAGGGGACTCTATTGCAATGAGTTTAATCCTAGTCTTATCCTCCCTACCAGTCTAAATTCTATTGTTGTCCCTGATGTCCCCAGATTTACTTGGCCAACTAGCTCTAGGATCCCTGTCCCAGGCTGTTATATGACCCATCTTTCCCATCAGTCTTCATTCACTATTCATTCTGTTTGTTCTCCTGTTAGTAAGCTTCTTGTGTTTTCCCTCTATCACTCCAATAGCTTCTGTTTCTAATTTCCACCTTTTTAGCAAGTCCTAGTCCAGGTTCTTCTATTTTTACAGTCATTTCTCTATTCTTGGTGTTCCTCCTCATCTGATAATGTAGCTTGCAGCTCTCTTGTTCCTTCTCATCACTATCAGAGATTATATTCTACTCTTAAAGCTCAACTCTCAGCAGACTCTTGGTATTCATCTTGTTCTCTCTTGGACTCTTGGTTTGCTTTTAGCCATGTCTCTGAATTACATGGTTCTTCCTCTGCCAGTAAACAATAAGACAGGAGACATGACCAGGCTGCTGGAGAAACAGTCATCTTTATGTTCACTTTGAAGGCAGGAGCATCTAATTATAGTTTTCCCCAGAGGCATAAATATAGTCATGTACTAGTAAAGAGCTTGGCTCTGTAATAGGGAGGTAGTACCCCCTAGGAAAATTGGTACAAATTAAAAGCCTTTAAAAACTTTGTAATGCATTTATAAAATAATTTGCAATACAGAATGTGACATGCAGAAGAACACATGACCAGATGGTGCCTTAAAAAATTTGCTGGCATTTATTTCTGGTGATCTGTAGAAGTCATTTGAATGTATAGACACCATTTCAAAGTAAATAGGCCAATTAAAACCTATCTTGAATAAAGCCTCTCTATTATACTATTGGATATATGTGCATGCTTTTTGTGTTCATCAGTGTGCTCATGACGGGTGCAATGACATGTGCATTAATTCCCTGGTGTTCAGAGATAAAGGAAAGTAGATGCCCTTTTTTTGGAGTACAGCAACACTACAGAGCAACCATTTAAAAGATAAGTAAAATAAAATGTTCTCCCATTTGTGCTGCACTAGAACTCTCAAAACATCGGCTGAAAATTTCCAGAAACTAAAAAATCATCAGGAGGCTGATGTTAACAACATTTCTACTGTGAGGGAACCCAGGAAGTCACTGCTCATGACAGCTGATCAGGAGGCATCTGGATGTTGTCTCATTTGAAAGTCTTTCAGCATTAGTGCTTTGTATTTGCAGCTTCTGATTCTTTACTGACAAAGCTATTTTAACAGGATTCTCTTTCCAGTTGAGCCATGCCAGTTTTGCCTGTTTTGGGACATCACTCAAAATCATTGTGGCTGCCAACTAGAAAGTCAGGACTACTGACTTCGAGGGTATGATGGAGAGGTGTGGACAGCTGATCTAGGAGTTCACTGCTACTGAGAAGAACTGGCTTCTTTTTCCCACAAGAAACAAGCTCTTAATGCTATATTTATTGCAGCTCCAGTGATTGTCAAAACCTCCTGAGCTAGACCTTCTAAAGTAAGAGAAAGAAACACTAAGCCAGCATAAGCAGAGATATTTTTCTACTGTGTTAGTGACTGCAGAGGAGTGCCTCAATTGATACAGCTGAAGTAAGGGACACAGTATTCATACAACCAGGAATAAGGGGCAGAGGGGTAGAAAGGAGCAAGCTGTCCCGTTTTGGCAGGTTCATCTACGTCAGCCTCTGGAGCCACAGGCTGAAATACCTCCTTAATTCATTTTCTTTCCTTCTGCACTTATAAACTTCTTGACTGCAGTATAGCTAGGCTGAATGCTAGCACAGTTCTTCATACCTCTGAACTGAAGGGGTGCTTCATTATCCAATGAGCCTACTAATGGGCACACTTGTTGCTATCATCAGTTTGTTGCTGATAAACATATTGTAACTTTACCATGAGATAACTTACTCAAATGCTTTTTATTCTATTATTTCCTTTAGGCTAGAAATTAATTAAAAATATGTATTTATGCTAGTAAAAGAAGAGATTTTAAAATAATTTTTCTTTAAACCTCTTGCTTTTTTACTGAAAAAAAAAGAAAAGGAAGATGCTTTTTGAAACTTTTCCACCAGCTTTATTTTTCTCTTAAGTTATTTTCATCAGTGAGATGCAGATATATCCTATCCTTATGCAAACAGGTATTTTCAGATTCACAAGGCCAGCCAGGGTACCCTCTTTCCACACCTGTAATGAGGAAGAAGGTTCTTTTTTAATCTGATGGCATCTTTTACCCTGAAATCATTGAGTTTTGCTATGGTTCTGAGTGAAGCCGAAGTTTAACCATCAGCACTCCATTTCTGCATTGCCTGTTTCTTATGCTTTCATGGGGAAGAACTTTGTGAGAAAGCCCAGTGTCATGGCTGCGGAGGGATGAGCTCTGGATATTATAATTATCTCTTCTCTATATCCCTTTTATAAGCTATGACCTAACTGTTTGTGTGTTTTGTATGGTTTCTGACAATACCAGGGCAGAAACACTAATTAACAACAATACACTTGTCATTAGCAGCTTTGCCACAGAGGCAGTTATATGAAGTTTAGCTCTATGAAGGGTATTCAATATTCCTTAAAACACAGAGGTTAGTACATCAGACTGTTGCCTCATGTCTATTTGTTCCAGCAAGGCTGAATTTTTTTTTCACGTCTATTCCCATATTTTTAGCACATGGATACTGATTTGTAGTTCATCTTGGGAGCCAGGGCACCCATCAATATATAGCTGCCTCTAGGCAGGAAGCATTTCTTGAAACAGAGACGGTGCTGGTACAGGCTCTTGCTCAGGTTTTTTTCTTTTTCTTTTTCTTTTTTTTTTTTCCTTTACTAATCCTGTACTACCACATGCACTGTGAAATATAATTAGTTCCTAAAGACTTGTACTTCATGCAGCATTAAATTGCAGAACTGGAAAAAAGTAGGAATCTATGTTACAATAAGATGTGGACAACAGAACATGCAAACATTGGTCAGGAATGATAATCAGAATTATAAAAATGTTTCTGGTGCAGTGTTAATAACCAAGTATTGATAAAGACTTTGTAGCTAATTCTGTATTCTCTAACTACAGCAGGGTATGCAAGTTGATTGTAATGTTGCTGTATTTAAGCTATTCATGCAATTTCGTGTCAGTAAAATACCAAGAATGTTTAGGCACCCTTTGAATTATAATACAAAAACATGGTAGAGATTTGTGGTTTATTCCTCAGTCTCTCTGAATTACTGTGTAACCTCTCTTATATCACTTACTTTAAATATTTCCGTTCCTCCACTTACCAAGTGGCTACTCCTAGCTTCACTTAATATGTTATACCTACAAAAAAACCCTGCAGTTTGTCTGAGACAACAGCTTTGTCTGTTACTTGTTCTATAAAGCCATACTATACCTTTGGTCCTTGTAAACCTGGTAGTGAAGATAAATATATATAATGCACAAAGCTTTAGCCAATTTTCCTTTCATTCATTCTGCCCTAGAGTCTGGGAAGAATCTGGGCAAAGATACATTGCAAATTATGGATATTTGTAATTCTCACTTAACAGTGAGCATTTGCTCTGTTTGTGTACGTTATGTTTTCGTTAAACATTATGAGTGTGTTTGATAATTCATTCAGGGAGATAATAAGAAAGAGCTGCTTGCTTTCCAAACACACCTTTTGATCTCTTAAACTCATCATTGTGGGTCAGTTAAGTTTTTGATTCATAATACAAGAGATTCCAACTGGCTGATTGCCAGACTACTGAAAAAAGAAGTCAGAAGGGATTTAGTCTGTTTCCTAATATTCCTAAATGTTAAATGAATCTTTGTGCTATCTACATTAGCAAAATGTACTGCAGTAGGTGGGCATGTTCTCTGGAGTTTGTGTATAAACATTAAATATTATCCCTGCTTTTTTGTCCTTGTCAGGACTTAATCTAAACCTAGCAAAGCTGGCAGCTGGTTCAGTGTTGAAAATGTTGAAAAACATATGTCAAAACTTCCAAAGTCTTTTAATCTAGGCAATATCTCAAGTTCCATAAATAATTTTAGGAGTACCATGGAACTTGTCATGGAAACATTTAAAGAGGAAACTCAAAATTGGAGCCCAAAATATTCTATTTTCCCAGCCCTTGCATAAATTTTGGTGCTATAATCTTGCATCCTTTAGGAAGACTTTTTCATTTTATTCCATTAAAAAAAAAGCCAAAATATAAAATATTCTGGTGGCTTTTGAGTAGAAGTCTTGGAAAACTGGAGAATTGTTAACGTTTAACTGAAGGTTTGAAAATTACTGACCATCAGCAAGAGTGAATGACATGTTGGTTTTTTTTCACTTGAACGTAAAACAATTAAGAAATGAAGTATTTATGAACAATCTTAAAATAGCAAGTTGTTCTGTCTAGTGTAGCATGCAGCATAAAATGCAAAGTCACAACAGCATGCAAGATGGAGAAATTCAAATGAAGTAGCAGATTTATTAACTGCTTTTTGACTGTGGTGGAGAAGCAGAACATCAAGGAGGAAAGTACATGATTAAAAGCTTAGGATTGGAAACAGGGCAGAAGAATCTCCACATAGTGCACTTTAAAAGTTCCTTCAACAAATTACTCCAGGCTGAAACTTGATGTACAGGAGCAAAATTCACACTTTGCAATGCACAAAAAATAGGCTGTATTTCTCTATATGGCAGTCGCACACTTTCTTTATTCTTTCTCACAGAGTTGAGTATTTTTCTTGTAAATGTCAGTGGAAGTGCAATTTGCTTTAAAATTGGCAATAATGTAAAGAAAAACAACTACAGGAACAGTTTTTTCCTATGTGAGTCCTAGAAGAAGAAAAGGAGTAAATGGAAATACTTAACTGCACCAAGATGCCAAAGTAAAGGCTCTCATAAAAGATTGTTAGAGGAGTGGAGGCAGGAGAGATCAGAGAGGAAGCTTCCCAATGAACATAAAAATCCCTGATCTATACCATTTTCTTAATGAAATTGGACCTGCCAGCAAGATAACTTTTCAATCTAGAAGTCTATGGTCCATCTAGCTCTTCCTTCCCCATCATCAGCTCAATAGCAGGGTCATATGACCATATAGCTATTTACAATGGACTTCTACTACTATGGCTGGTGCCTCGTGCAAAAATAGGTTATTTTCTTTCAAACCCTCTCTTCCCCACAAGTAGAACAAATTAATGCTTCCCACCCTCTTAATGGAATTGTTCTTCCAAGGGAGAAATGCTTCTTGACTATTTCTTTAAAATCCAAGAAAACTCCTTTCCAGCTAATCCTGCCTGATAAGAAGGCAAAGGGAAGTTGCTTGGAAGGATTCTTTTTCAACAGACAGTGCTCCTCACTAGGGTTCTGGAACAAATCTAATGCTGCTCTTCAAGTTGGATAAGGTTAGCTATCTTGAGTGACTGGCCCTTTAGACCGCTTCTCTTGTCAGTGAATACATTCTCCAGGGGATGATGCAGAACGTTGCTGGAACCTTAAGGCAAGTAACTGTAACACTTTTGGTTTTCCTTAGAATTTGTGCATTTTATGTATCATCAGAAAGGAAGAGTAATTGAAAAACTGGCTGATAATTTTACTTTTTGTGCAAAAAAATACACTGACAAATATATGCCCTAGTAAGAGTGTTTCCTTCTGCTTTTGAAGAGATATTTTTTAAGTATTTCAAAAGCAGATTGTATTTCTGATGGAAAATTGTGGAAATAATTAAAGGTTTCACTCTCTGTCAATGTATCTGCAGGTTATAGGGTCAGTAGGAAATGGAAGAAGCCAGCAGGAGATTTGAAGCTAATGTGATGTTATGCTCCTAATATCCTCTTCCTAATCATGTACTTAGGAAAATGAGTTAAGAACAAGGAAATGTATGCACAAAGACATATATGTTTTACTTTTATTTAACTGAGATCTGTTTCCTTGTTTATTTACATATTAAAAAACCCCATTCCAATAAAAAATTGATTTGTGTATCACTTAAGGAGCACAAACAGTGGGAGTTTAATACACAGTCAGATAATGGATTAGTTTACAAAGCCAGTCTGCAATTGGAGATGCTTATGTCTGAATGTGCCCTTCTCCACCTCCTCCCTCCACCTCTGGTAGAAACATCCATATTTGCAGCTTCTTGCAATTTAATGTTGTGGCTGTGGTGGTTTACTCAAGGAAGAAAAAGCTTCACAGATGAGTTATGTTAGCTATAATGTCTAGCCATTGCTTGATTACTTGCATCTCCGTGAAGTAAAGCAACTGCTAAAATATTTGCTTCATTTGTTGACTGAGAGGTGCTCCCATCTCTAAATGATTTACAGTATTTACCAACAGCATTTTTATGAGCAGTGAAGTAAGAAGTCAAATTCTGGTTTAAAACAGAAACAATTAGAAAAAAACAGTAGTACATTAGGCCACTTACATGCATTCGTACTCCTTTGAGGATTTGTCTTGTCAGCGAAGTGTAATGTACTTTAATATAATGAATGCTTAAAAAAAAAAAAGCCAAAAACTACTTATAGCCCACCACCTAATCGAAGATCTGAAAATGGAAAATATAATTGAATGGAACATGGTCTCCATGATATCCACTGGAAATAATGCCCACTATAACAATTCTTATTTCGTAGCTTGTTATTTATGTTCTTCTTTCATTTATTCATATGTATGACATCAAGCAAACTACAATCTCTGGGAATGCAGAATGCAAAATGTACAAGACTGTCATAAAACCCTGCTACGTTCTTGCTATTGTTTTTCCTAGCTAACAAACTAGTTTGCACGGTTGTATTTAATTACAATTCAAATAAACCATTACAGTATGATTTTCCAGAACTCATAGAGTAGCCATGATTAAATAAGAAAAGTTAATAAAAATTGATATTAAAATATTAGGACCTTTAAATGTGATTCACAGTTATTAGTAAAGCTGTACTTATAGCTCACAGTCTTCTCCTTCCTTTCTGTTAGAGGCTTCCCATGCAATAATTCTTCTCATGATATAATAGCTCTTGGGTATGATAAAATTATCTCTACTGAATGAAAGCTGACTAGGTTCAAGTGTAGAAATGTATATAAAAGCATAAAACAGCATAAAAAATGTTGTTTTGCTGAAAACAGCAAAAGACTCAATGCTTATTTTTTAATCAGGATTCCATGCGTATATGAAGCTATGGTTAAAGAAAAAAAGACCTGTTACGTCTTTGTATTAACCTTTGACTTTATAAATGAACAGTGTTTCCTGCCAAGTCACAGTACTATTCTGTTAGTGCTTGATACAGCATTTAGCATTGTTCTGGGATGTGTGATCATGTGATTCCTACTTTCTACATGGCAACTAATGCAGAAACAATCTGTCAGGAGCTGTCATTGAGGATCAATGCTAACTGTTACTCAGCAGGATACAGACTGTATCTCTGTGGGTGTCCTCCTTCTATGCTTTGATTATGTTTGTTGTAAAGAAAAGCCTTACAGCATTCGTATTTCACCCCCTCTGTGGAAGGCATATTGCAGCCTCTTGATTTGTCCCTGTTTCAACAAGATGGATTTAAAAAATATATATACACAGCATTTTCAAAGATTCTTTCAGTATAATCTGATTATAAAGAGGTTATGTGACAGTGTCTCTGCTGCTTATTGTGTGGCTTAAATCTCTGAGGACAAGCTGACTGAATATCCACACAATTTACAGTCTGATGGCAGCTGTAGTTCAAAAATGTTGTTTTGGGCTAGATCTAGGGTCATCTGAGGAGGCGCTTTGGCATACACCAAGGTAACTGAAGGATTTTGTGCTACTTATTTCTTCTTGTAACTTCTTTAAATGACAATACTGTAGGCTGGGTACGTGGGAGTAAGATTTCATTAAACTGAGTGGTAGTTTATTAACTTAGAGTGAAAAGAGAAGGGAAAAGAGGGAGAATTTTTTTTATACTTTACTGTATGAGTGGGGAGTAGTAAGCCTATAAGTCTTCATCTCTGAGCACTGATAAATACATAGTTTTACCTATTGTGAAAGAGAGAACACATATTACACTGGACAGCAAGCTGACCTGTTGCTTGCTGAAAAGGATATTTCAGGGAAAAATACGTGTTTCAGAGAGTGTCTGTGTTTTCCATGGCAAAAAACACTCATCTCTGACTTCCCATTGCCTCTTAATGTTTGCTGTCTTCAATACAGTACACTGTTGCTTTACTAACAAACTTTCAGGCATGAACGAATACATACTAGAAGACCTTACCACGTGGATGGAGCTGACAAATACTCTCTAGATGACGATCTCGTGAATCTAGAACTTCTAGATGAGGTAATGTCTGACTAGCAGTTTCTGACAATTGTGCCTCACAGTTTCCCTGTTTCTGCTCTTTAGGTTTCTTTTAACAGAATGAGAAGAGTTCCTTCTTTTGCAAACTTTTGTCTCATCATGGAAAAGGAATTGTCATGTGAATGATCTGCTGTCATCGCTTTGTTAATATTCTGTATAGTGACATAGAAGTATTAGCAGTGAATTCTATTAAGTGGACAAATTTAGTTACAAATTATGCTAGTTTAAATTAATTTGTGAGTTTCTTAAAGTTTAGTGATACAGATCTAGATTTAAGTTATTTTTCCTAAAATTGATGAATTTGTGTAGGTTAATATGGTATCTACACCTTCTAGATAAAAAGTGATAGAACAGTATTTCACTATATCATCTGTATGTAAAGCATCTGTAAATTTTTGTTCTGTTGGTCCTTAAATTTCATGACAGCAAGAAAAAGACAATATGAAATTGTGCTGTTGTCCTCTCTAAAACAGTCTTTTGCTACCACTTAAAATTTAATCCTTGAAAAATTATTATCTTGTTTCATGGCTATTTTCTCTTCAGAAGGTTTGTTTCTCAGGCTGGTATAACAAGATTTGTAATGATCTCCAAATGGGAGTTGCCATTTAACTTAGTTTTGTGGCATTAGAAGGAATTTTGAAAATCTTTGTTTATTTTTGTGGTGTTGGCATTTGACAAATTATAAGTAGCACTTACGTATTTCTAAATCAGTGTTCTCAGTATATTTACAAAAATCTTCCTAACTGAGAAAATACTGTTTAACTATCAAACTTTTTGTAATCTTCTCAGGATACAATTATCCATCAGCTGCAGAAACGCTATGCTGACTTACAAATTTATACTTATGTTGGAGACATTTTAATAGCCTTAAACCCTTTCCAGAATCTCAGCATTTATTCTCCCCAGGTAAGAGAGACTCTGATCTGTGGACAGTACTCACTTTACATTTTGAATTTACACCCCTGGCTAAAGTACGTAAATTATGTTGGAAGCTAGGAGCACAGACTGAACCCCAGCCTTTTCTTCAAAAAAACTGTGGCTGCAAATATTTTTTTAATTTTATTTTTTTAAATTCTGTCTCATTTTATTGCATTCTTTCCTGCTTGGTGGCAACAGTTCCACAGGAGCTGAGGATTACCCCAGCCACAACTGGGCTTATTTGGCATTTAAGGCTTCTGGGAAAAGAAGGGTGGTTATATGAGCCTCTTCATGCTGGGGATGTTGCTTCCTGAAGAATTGCTCTGACTGTTGTGTTATACATGTGCCATCAGCAGCTGCTTAAAAGAAAAAAGTGAATAAAATGCTGTAAAGATAGGGGCAGCTTAATTCCCTACAAACATGAAAGCAGATGGAATCATAATCTTAGTCTCCATGGGTGCCTAAATCAGGGTTTCAGGAAGAGGGGCCAGATACCAGTTTCACTCTTATCTTTAAAGTTTCTTTTGTATAGGGTTCCTTGTGATACAGTTCTCTTCACTGTCTTGTGGGGGAAAAATTGGAATGCATTTTAGGTATTGCAATTTGTATTGTGGAAGCAGGACAGTGTCAAGAATTGCGACTCCTCTTCCAGGTGATTCAGTAGAAGTTCTGTGGTAAAACAGGCAGCTACCTTCCATTGTAGAGGCAGATCTATCCTCTTTTTCAGTTATTAATTATGTAGTTAAGTTGTGTATTTTTACTGTTTTGTGTTCTTTTTTTAAAATGTAGTTCTCCAAGCTTTACCATGGTGTGAAGCGTTCCTCCAATCCCCCCCACATATTTGCCTCTGCAGATGCTGCCTATCAAAGTATGGTCACATTCAGCAAAGATCAAGTAAGAATCTGTTCATTTTGGTTTAGATTTCGTATTAATCATACAGCCACTATGCAATGTGGCTATGGCTGGTGTTCTGTTATGTTATACTTCGGGAATCTTTCTCTTTAAGGCTTTTATTCCTGCACCAGAAAAACTGGAGTGCAAATCTAGTCAGGTTTATAAGTTCTGAAGAGGACACAGTGGCATAAAATAGACTAAAAGTTCAAATAAAGTGATAGAGACCTGACCAATCTTGTTTACTGGATACCCATGAAGACCTGGCAGTTGACACCAACTGCAGGGTGTTGCCTGTACACGCTTATTCTAGACTGTCTTGCACTAAATGTTGTAATAATTTAAAGCTGTGTACATGTCTCAGAGCCATAGTAGTTTGAACCACTTTTCTGTTTCATAAAGATGTTATCAAGCAATGTATAACGAATTTGTTTAACTACAAGTCACAAAAAATAGGAACCATTAACTATTTTTGTTGTAAAATAAATAAAGGATAGATCTAATATAAATGTTCTGCTGAGTATGTGGAAGTACACTGATCTGGTAGATGGTTAGGACTTCTCTAGTGGCTTATAGTCTCTTTGATGGAAGCATTAAACTAAAAGGTACTCATGTAGAATGAGTAATGTGAGCACTTGTTATCTGGGGAAAAAAATAATTTTTACATCAGCCTGTCAGGCTAACTTTGTACATATTTAATATAATATGTTTCATATCTGCTTAGAAAGTAATTTGCATTTAGATCTAAATCAATTTCCTATCTTTAGTTTATGGAGTATTACAGGAGCATGTTTATCTCCCATTACCTGACTAATGTTATGTTGCTTCTTCAGGTAAAGGTGCATTAGATAAACACGGTAGCCAGATCAAAAAAATGTATTGATTGTTTTATCCATTGATCTTTCCCTTGTATTTTCCTGTGAAGCCTGAAAATTGACTCCAAGTCTAACATTTCTCCTGAAACTTAGGTGAGGTTCTGACCAATTCTACAGAGTTTTAAGAGTTCTATAAGAACTCATGAGCTTTAACTGTGTAAACTGTTGTACTTCTCTATGCACACAGGGACAATTAAGGTAGGTAAATCTGTAAATTTAACCTATAATTCTATCATTGTATTATCTTCTAGCAAGAAGGACAAAAATACTTGACAGGAAGCAAATAAATTATCTCAGTTCTGTATGAGTGCCATTGCATCAAGTATTTTAGAATCTTGTATCTTCCAGCCAAGAAGATGTTCAGAGTGGGGTGTAAATAATTTTCAGGTGTTTACATAAAAACACATGAATCTATCTAGCTGCTCAGTGTTAACATTTAATTATATGTCAGCTGATACTGTACCTTAAGTAGACTCATATTTTTACTGGTGACCTGAAGAACACATGAAAAAATGCGAAAATAATAAATGCTGTTAGAAGTTTTCCTTGCTATGACCTGAAGTGTTCATGCTTCAGTGTGCAGGGGAGAACTGATCTTCAAGGTGTACTGGCCTTCTACTTCCATCTTTTCCATGAGGTGTAACTGCAGAAAGGAGGATAACAAGTGATTTGGACCATTCTAGCTCATCTCTGAGTCTGGAGGCCATTTGGAGTGCCTATAAAATACCACGTGTTAAGGACTGCTGGTTATGTTCTCCCAGAATCATTCAGTGAACAGACACATTTTTCTGAAATTATGCTTTTTTACTTTTCTAGCTTGAACATCAGTATCACCTATGGAACAAGCCTTCTCTACACAGCAGCAATTATTTAAGATTATTTTTAAAGCTAGGAGCAGACTTTTGATCAGGGTATTAAATATAGCTGTGTTACATATTAATTCATATGAAGTCAATGTGGTAAGCTCAGATGCACTGTTAAATTATGTCACGTCAAATGAGCTGTGGCAGTTTTGTGAGTTTTAAGCATTTGAAACAAGCCACCTATATGCATAGTGTGTGTTAGCCTTTAGAGGTGGTCAGTGGTTCATGTGTCTTAGCTCTTAGAAATTCAATTGCTGCTTCACACATATGCACATTGCTGTCAGGCATTGCAAGATGCATTTCAGTGATCTAGGGAATAAATTATTACACAGAGCTTTTGCTGTTCTTTCCTTTCAGAAGGGAGTTGACCCTTAAAGTGTTTTGTAGTCTTGGTACTAAAGATTAAGTAACAGAGAGAAGGAGTAATATCTGAAATCAACCATGTGGTGAACTGTGCACTTAACTGTTCTGTTTTGTGTGTTCAGTGCATTATCATCAGTGGGGAAAGTGGTGCTGGAAAGACAGAAAGTGCCCATCTGATCGTCCAACATTTGACCTTCTTGGGAAAGGTATTTCTTAGCCAGTCATATAAAACTGTGAGCAGATCCTCCCAACCCCAATCTCAATTTTCACTTCATTGAGTATTTGGTACTTAAAACTGTTCAACTTAAAACTTGAGTTAGGATCGGGTAATCATACATATGAGAGTAGTGAATTAAGATTCTAGGGTATGACCCTCACCATACCATTAATTTTTTTTTTAAAAAAGAGTGTGCCAGATCCTGAGTGTTCAGTGCTTGCAGTTATCTACAGTGTTTTTCACATATACCATCATTCATTTATACAATAAAGAATGAAACATCTTGCTATGGCTCTAATCTTAGAAGCGTTTGAACATTTACGTGTTTTAAGCAATTTTCTTAGTGCAAAATTATGGGAAGTGTGTAAGGTTAACCTTAAATACGTGTTTAGTTTTTGATGGCTTTGATGCTCCATCAAATTATATGACACCTCAAAGGCAGAACAATTGGAGAGATGGAAGATTCTGGTTTTTCCTACCTGTAGGAGAATTCCTCATCAATTTGTTGGCCCTACAGTATAAGTAGAAAGGTTAACGCAGTAATCTGATTGCATACAAGCACGAGAAAGGGATATTATGCTTCTGAAGCAAGAATTGACTTGTGGGTAAGCAATATATTCTTTTAATGATCCTTCTGATCTGTGTCTGCTCTGTCAAGGCCAGTAACCGTGCTTTGCGTGAGAAAATTCTTCAGGTGAATCCTCTGGTTGAAGCATTTGGAAACGCCTGCACTGCCATCAATGACAACTCCAGTCGCTTTGGAAAATACCTGGAAATGATGTTTACACCTACAGGAGCAGTAATGGGGGCCAAGATTTCTGAATATCTACTCGAAAAGTCAAGGGTCATAAAACAGGCTGTGTAGGTATATTAATTGTCTGTCCTTTCACATTACTATGATGTTTGGATTCTGTCTGATTCTCCAAAATCCTTTCTTGTAAATGCTTTCGTGCCTTCTGCTAAAGCAGTGATCCTTTGCATAGTTCTATGATGACAAAAATAGTCAGTTACATTATTTTGGACTAGAAGCCAGAGCAGCACCATTCTTTGGAGAAATATTGTGGTTGGCTGGGTTTTTTGTGTTTCACAGTTGCTATATGATTAAAATAAGTGGGAGATTAGCTCCCTGCTTCAGTAAGCTCATGAGAAAAACCTTGATCAGACAAGGCTCCAGGGAGACCTTACAGTGGCCTTCCAGTACTTGAAAGGGACCTACAGGAAAGCTGGGGAGGGGGTTTTCATCAGAGAAGATAGTGATAGGACAAGGGATTTTAAACTGGGAGAGAGGAGATTTAGGTTAGATATTAGGAAGAAATTCTTCACTATAAGGGTGGTGAGGAACTGGAATGGGTTGCCCAGGGAGGTTGTGGATGCACCATCCCTGGAGGTTTTTAAGGCCAGGTTGGACGAGGTTTTCTGCAACCTGGTCTAGTCCCTGCTCATGGCAGGGGGGTTGGAACTTGGTGATCTTTGAGGTCACTTCCAGTCTTAATGATTCTATGATAAGAACTTCTACTTTTACATTGTATGAGATGCCACAAGAATAAACACGTGTGCTTTATAGGGATACTTTCTTTTTTCCAGGGGAGAGAAAAATTTCCATATATTTTACTATATTTATGCTGGCCTTTATCATCAGAAGAAACTTTCAGAATATAGACTTCCTGATAAAAAGCCTCCTAGGTAACTATCACTCACTTGTTTTAACTGCTCATTGTATTTAGCTATTGATCAGCTCTTGTTTTCAGTATGATGCCTTAAAATCTCTCTTAATCCTTCTCCATCCTTTAAGGATCTTTTAATCCTCCCAAGCAAACAGGAGGGTGGACAATAAAGCATTATGTTATTTGTATTTGTTTGAGAACTCAAACTATTTAAAGAGGAGGAGAAATAATCATTCTATTCGGTCATACTTTCAAATCAGAACAACTGCCTTATATTTCTTACTGTAATGCTTCAGTAAGAGCCCAGAATTTAGTTTGGAGTAGTGTTTTTTTATTGGTATTTGTACTTCGGGTGCATCTGATCTGTATAGGGTGAGGTGGTCTGTGTGAAATGTTTGTAACACTGTAATAGATATAAATAAAGAATAAGCGAAAATTAGTGCAACAGAAACAAGAAATTCTTCACTATAAGGGTGGTGAGGAACTGGAATGGGTTGCCCAGGGAGGTTGTGGATGCACCATCCCTGGAGGTTTTTAAGGCCAGGTTGGACGAGGTTTTCTGCAACCTGGTCTAGTCCCTGCTCATGGCAGGGGGGTTGGAACTTGGTGATCTTTGAGGTCACTTCCAGTCTTAATGATTCTATGATAAGAACTTCTACTTTTACATTGTATGAGATGCCACAAGAATAAACACGTGTGCTTTATAGGGATACTTTCTTTTTTCCAGGGGAGAGAAAAATTTCCATATATTTTACTATATTTATGCTGGCCTTTATCATCAGAAGAAACTTTCAGAATATAGACTTCCTGATAAAAAGCCTCCTAGGTAACTATCACTCACTTGTTTTAACTGCTCATTGTATTTAGCTATTGATCAGCTCTTGTTTTCAGTATGATGCCTTAAAATCTCTCTTAATCCTTCTCCATCCTTTAAGGATCTTTTAATCCTCCCAAGCAAACAGGAGGGTGGACAATAAAGCATTATGTTATTTGTATTTGTTTGAGAACTCAAACTATTTAAAGAGGAGGAGAAATAATCATTCTATTCGGTCATACTTTCAAATCAGAACAACTGCCTTATATTTCTTACTGTAATGCTTCAGTAAGAGCCCAGAATTTAGTTTGGAGTAGTGTTTTTTTATTGGTATTTGTACTTCGGGTGCATCTGATCTGTATAGGGTGAGGTGGTCTGTGTGAAATGTTTGTAACACTGTAATAGATATAAATAAAGAATAAGCGAAAATTAGTGCAACAGAAACAAATATTACTTATTAATTAGTAATAAAGTATATAACTGGAAGATACTGAAATAAATGTTCTTTCCAGTTACTGAGGTACTTGCATTGATGTCACTGGACCTTGTACTGGCATATCTGCTAGTATGGTGCTTTCTTTCTTCCACTCTATTTAGATATATTGATAATGAAACTGGAGGAGTAATGCATGATATTATTACTAAAGATTCCTATGGAAGACAATTTGAAGCAATCCAGCATTGCTTTAGAATTATAGGATTCACTGATGAGGTAAGAGATCTAGTCGCTAAACCTTTGTTGACCTTCTATATAAAAATCCCCTCAAATACTGCCTGTGGACAGGCTGCCATTTGTTTTTTGTGGATACACACCTGTGCCACAGAATCTCTCATATAACAGAAATGAACTATGAAAGCATAACCACACACTCGGAAGCCGAGACCAGCTTCAGGTCTTAGCTGGTATTCCGGCAAGTTCATTCAAAATTCTGTATCACACTGTTTTCTGAGTCAATAGAAGCTCACTTGAATTTGTGGAACTTGGTCTCAGAGCAAGCTACAAGCTTTAATAGCCATTCCAGTGTCCACACTTTTCTTTCATAGCCTAAATGTGATCTGTATATCTAATCAGATTCCTTAAAAGTGCTTATTGTCATCTGTTACAGGAAGTGTACTCAGTGTACAGAATTCTGACTGGAATCTTGAATACTGGAAATATTGAGTTTGCTGCCATTTCTTCACAACACCAAACAGATAAAAGTGAGGTTCCCAACCCAGAAGCCTTAGAAAATGGTAAATACATTTTAACTTTGCCAGTTCTGTAAATTCAATTTTATTGTATTTGTGAGAATCTTTAACTTGTGGTAAAAGTTGGGCAATGCTGGTGATTTCCACCAAACTATCACAGTCACACATCTTTTTCATCCACTTTCTTTCAGCTGCTGCACTACTAAGTATTGGGTCAGAAGAACTTCAAGAAGCCCTGACCTCCCACTGTGTTGTAACACGAGGGGAAACCATTATCCGAACAAACACCGTGGACAAAGCAGCTGATGTGAGAGATGCCATGTCTAAAGCACTTTATGGCCGGCTCTTCAGCTGGATCGTAAATCGTATTAATACGCTGCTTCAGCCAGATAAAAATATATGGCAAGTTACACAGAACTGAATCACGTGTATTTGCTGTGCATATGTCTTTGATGGGTTAATCCATTTGTATATTTTTGATTTTACAGAAAGGGTGCTGTGTTTGTTTCAGCTATGGCTTCAAAACTGCTTTCATGCTGTGAATTCTGTTTCCACAACATTAAGCCAAACATTTTCAAAGAGCTGAGTGGAATTTAGCTACTGAAGTCAATGGAAACTGGGTCGTTGAAATGCTGTACAATTGTTTAAAAAGATGCTTCTCATGTAGTGAACATTAAAGTCATAGCGAAGGCTGTTAGATAGTTGGAATACCCTGAAAAACTTCAGTATGTATTCACAGTCCTTACAGTCCTTCTGCTTTTGTAAGCTAGGAATACAGATCTCAGAATATTATTGTGCTGCTATTTGAGATGCTAGTGACGTGGCATTTTTTCTTTGTCATAATTACAGAAATGTTCACATTGTGCATCTTTAAGATTTCATTGCCAGGTAATGATCTGGCTGGCTTCATCTTTTCAAGCTGTATAGATTTTTAGAATTAAGAGAACCACTTAGCTGATGTGAAAATGCCCTTGATCTGACATGTCTACTTGGCACTTCACTGTATTGTATGGATATGTTTTCATGTATACCTGAGTTCTAGCAGTGTCTCTGGTATGAGTATGCTTTTAGATGTGAGCTCATAAAGCAGCAACAGACTTGGTAGTTATGCCCTCTGCCTGAGTATAGCAAGAACATGTTGTTAAAGTTTGACACCTTTTGTATACCTGAAGGAGCAGATAATAGATTTTATTTGGAAATCTGCCTGTTTAAAACCACTTGTTTTAATATGACTGCTAAGTGTCTATGTGTACCTACGAATCTCCTCCCTTCTTCATGGAAATTTGCAAGAAGCAGGTGGAAGACAGAAGTGTTAATGATGTCGAACAAATGCATAAGTTGTCTTAGGTTCAAATACACTTTTTCTCCTCTCTTTTTGCAGCAGATTAAATCAATTACGGAATCTTAGTTACCATGTTTCTTTTTAGTAAGAGTTGCCTATGATGAATTTTGTTTATATTTTCACATGCAGCAGTGCTGAAAATGGGATGAATGTTGGAATACTAGACATATTCGGATTTGAGAACTTCGCAAGAAATTCCTTTGAACAGCTGTGCATAAATATCGCTAATGAACAGATCCAGTTTTATTTCAATCAACATATCTTTGCACTTGAGCAGGTAAATTCAATTCTGATGAGGTCTAGTTGAATCAGACATCCTGAACCATAAATCATATTCAGGAGTACATTATAAACTATAAAATGGGTATGTGATTTAAATGCAAAATAATTACATATTTCAGTTGAAGTTTTGTAAGTAATGTTGTTGGGACCTATAGATTATTGCTGTGCATCATAAATGTTCTAATGATGACATTGTGTTTACTGGTTCAGTATTAAAACTGTGCTGGTGACTTTGTAGATGGAATATCAGAGTGAGGGAATTGATGCTACTACAGTGGAGTATGAGGACAACCGTCCACTTCTAGATATGTTCCTTCAGAAACCCATGGGTCTTCTGTCTCTACTAGATGAAGAAAGTCGATTTCCTCAGGCAACAGACCTAACCTTAGTTGGTATGTGCAAACAAAAATTCTGTGAAACAATAGATATATTTTGAGAGGGCAGAATGACATCTTTACTCAAGATTTACTAGCTGAAACTGAAATATTTATTTGACATTTTAAGTATACTTTTCATTGTGCTTAATAATTTTTCTTTCATGCTTTTTGGTTTTCTGTTCTTTTTATATTGCAAGAGTTAACTTATAAATCAGGTGTCAAGTGCTTATTATCTTTCAAGTATTACAAGAGATAACCTGTGTCTTGTCCCTGTATTTGAGGTACATCTATCAGCATTTATCCCCAAGACTCAAGACTGAGACATGTGTCTGGGACCACCCCATAAGCAACATTAGTGTTGAAACTATTATTTAGATCTCCCAGTCTCGCAGGCCCATGTTTATCCAATTAGAAAATACTGCTTCATTCCAGATTATCTCATCATAAATAGGAAGTGTGTGTTATTTCTAGTGTGCTATCTGGCTAAATATTTCCCTTCCTTCATGCATATTTTACATATATATTTTACAAATGTTCATGCCAACCTTAAAACATGTAGCACACACAGTGTTTACAACTGATGTCTTGCTTTTATTTACTAGAGCTACATTTTTCCCTTCAATATGAAACAGTGTTTCAGTTCCTTCAAAGGTATTGCAGCAGAGACTCAAACTGTTAGTTAGAGTATAGTAACAGCTGCTTGTTAAATTGCACAATATATGTACAAGATTTTTCACTACTGCTAGGCTGAGTTGAAACTTGAATTTAGGTCACTGATAGAATGAATTCTCTGATTTCATTCCAGTCCTCATTTGTGTACTAAAGCTGTGTGCCTCCCTGTGGGTCCTATAAATCAGTTAATACTGAATATTGGACTTTTACTTTCACAGAGACATTCTCCTTGGTCCAGTGCCAACCGCTGATCTGTACACAATACAGCAGGATCCCACAAGAAGGCAAACTGGGATATTTTGCTCTCTCCAGATGTGCCAAAAAATCGTTAATTGCACCGCCCTCACTCCACTCCCCTGAAATGCCAAACTTAGTTCTTGCTTTAAATACAAGCTTGATTAGATATTAATAGAAATTAAAACCTTACACTTAATGGATTCTAAGATTAGAAAAAACATTTTGATAATATGTTCTGAGCTACACAAAATTACAGATAATTTTATCAATTGATTCTGGCCTCTTGGTTTTTAGGTTTTTGTTCAGATAAAGAAATATAATAGCAAGCTTTAGAGTATCAGCACTAATTTATTTACAAAATATTAAAGAGCATACAAAATATCACAGGGCATGAAAGAGATTTTTCTTATAAAATAGTGTTTCTTTTTCTGTCAGCTCTTTAGAGGTAGTCATGGGAAACAGAAAGCCTCTTTTGAAGGGGCTTTGCATAGAAGTCTATTTTTCTGTAGAAGTCCAAAGGTGAATGCGAGGTAGTCTCAGCCCGAAGACGTTTATATATAATTAAAACACAATGCACAAAGCTAAATGAATGGGGAAGATGAGATAGGGAAAGTACAAATAATAGCCATTTAAGCAAGTGAGATACAGGCACAGCTTTAATTGTACATAGTTGAAATAAACCCACCCCAAATCCCATATATACACATATAAAGCAAATTCATAGCAAAATATGATAAGTTGTCACACCTTCTAATTGGCCCTTCTTATTTGGTACTTTTCCATGCACAAAGGTATGGACAAACAGTAGGTTCTGAAAGACAGTCTTACTGCGCTAGTTTAGGATGAGCTGTTCCATTCAGAAGTGGCAGCTAGGAAGAAAGCACAGGGAAGCTGGCACATAGCTATTTCTGAGCAGTCTGATAATATAGGTGTTCATAGTACTTAATCAGCAAACTGTCCCTAATTAGCATGAAGATTTTACTTAGTCACTCTAAGTCACTTATATCAGTGTCCATTCTCAATGTCTAGACAAATTTGAAGATAACTTACGATGCAAATACTTTTGGAGACCAAAAGGAGTAGAACTGTCATTTGGTATTCAGCACTATGCTGGAAAGGTAAGGTAATCTGATTGATTTTTTTTTTTTTAGTTCAAATAACAGTGGAATGGTCATTTTTTGTTTTATCTCAAGTTTCTGCTGTAACTTTTTGTTTCTCATTTTAAGAGACAAAATTATAAAGTTTGTGGAAATAGAGAATATACAATAAAATTTTCACATGTAGTAGTCCATTTTAGAACCTGTCCTTAAGGTTCTTTCACATATTGTATAAAACAGTAACCACCTTTTATTTTGAAATAAATTTGGTACCAGAAACACCATCACTACAAACATTTCAAAGGAGCAAGTCTCTGGACCCAGAACAGGCTATGTGATTGTTAACCTTGTGTGAATGCTACAGGAGTGCTGTGTGTGACTGTATATAAATATACAGATAGAATGCAATGTAAAACATCTGTAATACAACTTAAAATCCTATAGAGAACACTGGAACAACTGAAGCAAGCTCCAGAAAAACCACCCAAAGAAAAAGTTAAGCAAATTATTTTATTCTTATATGAATAAAAATAACCAGGCATTAATCTAAAATAAAAACCACTAAAATAATTGAAATATATGAGTGAGGTTTTTTCTTGCTAACATTTTTTAAGCACCTATATGTGCAACTTAATCCTGTTCCTCCAAGAGGTGTAGTTGTAGATCACAAGTTTGATGCAAACCACAAGGAGACTATGACCACCTGAGAACCATTTCTTTACATATAAGTGGTCAACTTAAGTTTTAATGAGCTATCTGTGTTATATTGCATCATGTACCACAGTTTGACATGATGAAGCATAACACAACGTGATTTTAGCCATTAACCCGGTATGATGGGCAGTGATATGCTATGATTATAGGTGCTGCTTATAGCCAGTTCACATTCTGAAGACACTGGTGATTCTGTGATTCTCTGTGAAGCTGTATGCTTGTAAGTCCTTTGCAGATAATTCATTGGCTTGTCAAAGCCAAACTAACTGGTCTGCTTGGTCATCTTGACTGTTCACATTTTAAAGAATAATAGTTTTTGAATAACCCTTTTTGGCATATTTTCTGCTTCTGTTTCCCATGCTAGGTATTATATGATGCCTGTGCATTCCTTGAGAAGAACAGAGACACTCTTCCTGCTGATGTTGTGGTGGTATTGCGAACTTCAGAGAACAAACTTCTTCAGCAGCTGTTCTCTAGCCCATTAACGAAAACAGGTATTTTCTGCACAGATTGGTTAACATTGCAACCTCTTCAGCTACCTATTCCTCAAAAACTCTAGTTGCTTCTGGACAAATTTGTTTTAATTCTTTTCCAGCTCTGTTGTTTAAAGCTTCCTAGATATCTAAAATGTTATGATCATATTTAGTTCAATTATGTTAACGTTAATTCTTCTAAAATACCCAAGCAACAACATTTCATGCCTTGCTCTAGAGAAAGGGAGACTATCTGATGTGTAAGGTAAGAACTCATTTTCAGAGCAGGATGAGAATATGGCAGTTTCTTGGTTCTTAGTCAATTAATTAAATTGTTTTAAAGCTTGTTGATGCTGAATTACATGAAAGTGCACAGATCTGTAGCTAAATAAAACAACAAGGTGAAATTTGGTTACTCCATGGATAGGTGTCAGAATACTAGTAGCCTATACAAATGATAGTTCTGCACTATACTTGTAAACAAACCAACAAATGTACACATCTATCATTACTTTCTACATGGCAAAATTCTTGTGATCTGGTGACATATGCAGACAAGGCTGTTGTATTTTTAGGTAGAAATAAGTATACATGCATTAGGTAGTGCTGTGTAGGCCTATTGTACATGTGGTGTATTCTGCCTGTACAGCAGCTCTGTCTGGGATTTCTGGAACCTCAGTAGCTGAGTCATGGCCTCTCTTGACGTTTCTGTGTAGAACAACAACATCTGGAGAAAAACGTATATTGGAGCCTTCTTTGCACATGTAAAACTGATAGCAAACTATCTGTTCACATTCTACCCAGAATAGATTCCTGTTACAATGTCTCTGTTCCTGTTACTAAGAGGCTCCGCATTACCCTCCTTCAAATTATGGTTTTAGCAGTCCCTGACAGGTGAAGACCCAATGAAGAATCATCTTCTCCTTTCAGCTGTGACAAGCTTAGATGGAGGAGGATATAGTTTAAGACGGAGTAGGATTGGTTTGTGCCCAAGTGGGGAACAAATTATCTTTGTGTCTACTTCTAACATTTGAGTCCATGTTAAATTGATTCTTTTATACACGCTGGATGGATCGAGTAAAGCAAAAAAGAAAGCCTCACATCTGCTCAAATGCGCCTCCACACCCCTCTTTACTAGCCATTTTATACCTTGGAGTTATTGTAAGAATGAAACAGATTAGCTGCTTTGTGACACTTATCAGTCCCTATTACTATAAATATTATATTTCTGGTTTTATTGCTACTTTTAAATCAGAATGCTGATGCTTTAATGCAAATTCATCTTCCTCTGTCTTTTTAGAGATATTTTGAGTGGCAGCAGCACTAAACTTGGGTATTTACTGAAAGAGTGGTAGGCACTGGAATGGCCTGCCCAGGGAGGTGGTAGAGTCACCATCCTTGAATATATTCTAGAAATGTGTAGATGAAGAACTTCAGGGCATGCTTTTGTGGCTGAGATCGTAGGCTGTGTGTTGTGGGGTTTTTGGGGGTGTGGTTTTGTGGAGTTTTGTGGGTTTTTGGTTTTGTTGTTATCGTTTTGGGAGTTGGTTGGTTCGTTTTGGTTTGGTTCTTTGGTTGGACTTGGTGATCTGAGGTCCTTTCCAACCATGACTATTCTGTGATTCTATGATTTTTCCTAGGACACATAAAATATTCAGTAAGAAGATACATCTCATTTGAGTCATGTGTAGTTACCCAGTTGGTGTATTTTTACTTTTTTGTCTCTCACATTCCTTTCTTGTTTCCTATTTGCATGAATTGTGAGTTTTCTGCTTCCCCTTAATAGAACATGTACCTTTCCATGAAGAGCACACAAGTGTGTTGTCTGTATTTCTCTCAAGTTAGTGTAGGACATCCTGTTAACAATTATTATGCATATGCTCCAGTGCATGGTGTTATAAAAATAGCTTAAAATTCTTAGGTCATTTTTATTTTTTAAAAGTCCTCATGATTTTGCTGGTTTTTCCAGCTGTCTCATAGAATTGGCACTCACATCCTGTGTTGGGGCCTCTGTGTTCTAAAATCAGACTGTTGCCAGGTTTAGTTTTTTCAGTTTACAAGATAAATGAAAGGTTTGGCTGAGAACAGAAGGTATCGCTGGCAGTGCTACTTCATCTCTGTGAAGAAAGATAATGCTATCGCTCTTAACTTTATACAAAGAAGCTTGTGTAAACAAAAGAATAGTATAAATGTCCCATCATACTCTGTCCTTGCCTTTTAGCCCTCTTCTCTCCACTCAACATGTGCTTCATTCCTAAAGCAAACCAGTAAAAATGCAGATTAAGATTCACAATCTTGATAGAATTTTCTCCAACTTTTTGTAGATTAGTGACTGATGAGAAAGTTAATAATTTACATGGAAGCCATATTGCATCTCTCCAGGTAAGCCTGACTTGAAGTGAGCCTTCTGCCAGTATCTCTGGTATTTTGTTTGAAGACGAGTGACAGCACATTCTCACATCTGCTTGGAAGTAGCTCTGCAATTTGCAGTGTACGTAGTTTTTGCCGAGCACCAATCTCTAATATGTGTAATAGTCACTAGGTGGTGCTATCCCAGAAGCAAGAGGGAATTTACGACGTAACATGGATCTGACAATTACTGAAAATGTAGTTCTTAAATACCAGAAAGAACAAAAAGATGCCTTTCCCACCCTGAGAATATCCTCTGTTTGAAGTATATTTATATAACTGTCATGTCTTCTGCTGTCAATAACTGAGCAGCAGCAAGAAAATAAATATTAAAAAGACTAAACTCTTTTACTATTTTAAGAACCTGTTAATCCCTGTGATTTATCAAATATACTTATCCCCTCTTAATAAATACTTCCATTTCACAGTAGCAGACTGTGTAGTTTAAAGGGCCATAAATTAACAGTAGAACATTGAATATACATTTTTAATATTAATTTATAGTTAAGAAAGTGTAGAATTACTGATATGAGGAACTTAAACATTCTGGTACTACTTTTGTAGTGTGTACAGCATGTTTTGTCATCTTTCAGTGGAAACTTAGGCATGTTCAGCATCTTGTAGAATCTGTTTGTACTTTATGTGGACCTTTAACCTCAAAACTGAATGAACATTTTCTGGTTTAACCTAGCAATTCTTCCAATTGCTTCCATATTTGCCACATTTTCTAGACACATAGTTGTTTGTGCTGAGAATTCTGCATATTCTGAAAAACAGAATTTACTCCAAATAAAAGAGTAGAGCTTTTTTTTAAAAATGCCACTACTCTAGTTGAATATGCACATTCCCATTCAGATGTAATACATCCTTGTTTGTCTCTAGTTCTGATTTATCACTGTTGCAGCTAAAGCATCAGATAGAAAAGGAATCACATTATATAGAAATAAGAGTCCCCTTGAAAGAGAAGGTGGCTTTAATTGGAAAAATTAAGGAAAGTCTTGGTAAATTCACTAGTAGTATCAATGGGGAGTCTGACCATTTGAGTTTAATTGACGTTTAATTGATGGCACCATCGGACTGCTTGGGCAAAGCAGCACTGGGGCTTTTTGAGACTGAAGCTCCCTCTTACACTTTTTCTTTCTTACCTTATGTTCCCCAGCTGGACAGATCATGCTGGCAGGTTAGAGAAGTGTGCCAGAGGGGTTTAATCTTCTCAGAAAAGCTACAGCACAACATGATTTTCTACTCTTGAAACAAAATATGTGCAGACCTTTTACCCTTCTATGGGCTCACAGATCTTTAGAGCTTTTATCAGGGTTACTCTGCTCGGCCTTAGGTCCTGGCTAGAGAGAGGGGGAGAGATTGCCACCTGGAGGGAGAGAAGGGGAAATCCTCAAGCCTTCCCACTAGCACAATAGAGACGCTGTGGAAACGTCCCTGTCCTGCCTCTGAGGATATGTAGGGGCTGGGCTTGGCTGCATAGATTAAATACAGGACAGGGTACCATTACCATTACAACAACATCATGTCTAATAATTTTGGTACCACTGGGTATGCTCATACATTCAGAGAGACAGAGGATCAATCTAATCATTGCTAAGAAAAACCCCTTGTTTATAGTGCCTAGATAACTGAGTATAATCTGTCAAAGAGAAGTGGGCTGAAAGTTTTCACAGACTTCACTGAAGAGTTAGGATAGTGATGTTTTTTACAAAACAAGGGAATTTTTAACAAAACAATTTCCTTCCAAAATAGAAGGAGAATAGATTTTTTTCAAAATCGAATTAATCATAATTATCCTGCCTTAAGGTCATTTCCCCTCCTCAGTATTGAGTTTTAGTCTGTGTTCTTTGTGCTTTTGAGTCTCCAGACCTGCTTACGGCCCTCAGACAAAAAATTATTACAATGTATGTCTCATATGAAGAAAAACACAATGAACCAGCAACTACCAGACCTCATGCTGAGATAGAATGGGGAGAACATGTTTCAGGCTTTCTTTATGCACATGAAAGAAGACAAGAACTAGAACCTTTTGCAAAAGCACTTTAAAGAACTGCTTTTCGCCAATGCTTGGTGACAAGAGTATTATCTCAATATTAATTTATGCATAACTTTTATAGCAGCTGATTCCTCACAAGGAGTCAGAAACTGTGAGAAACAAATAGCTTTTCTTGCATTTCAGTCCCATGAACAGATACTGGTCATAGAGTGAAATCTTGCCCAGTTGAAATGGTAGGTGTTTTGTTTTCAGTGGAAGCAGGACTTGACCTGTCACGGTTATCACTGTGCACTCCTATTGAGTACAAGCCCTTCCTCTAGCAATAGGTAGTGGCAGGTCTCTTGGTTTGGTTATATCATGCTTACATCCCAAAGTATAGCATGTTTCCATTTGGGCTTAGCATACTTTTTTCTTTTAATTCCACACGTCACAACAGAGGAAAAGACTCAAATACAACTTAATTTTACAAATTTATCCTACAATAAAATCTTTTTATAGTGGTACTTTTGTGTTAGTATTTTTACCTCCAATAATAACGGCAGGCACTCTTAGTCAAATGAATTGGAAACAAAGCCATTGTAATTATAATCTCTCTACTTAAAATTTATAATTT